ATATATATATATATATATATATATATATATATATATATATACACATAATACTTATAAGTTAAGAGATAATAAAGCATAATCAACGGAACTGTACCGAAGACAATAATTATTGTTAAGAGATATTCTTGTAATTTGTACGTATAATCGACGCGAATGCGATTTCAATTTTACATGAGGAGCAGAATGTTGTAATATATTAGTAATTAATATTTGTATGTAAAAATAATATTCTTAAAAAAAAAATGAAAACGCACCGTGAATACATATCTTTCAATATACTTTGTGATATACATCGATTATACGTACAATCGACTTTTGACTTTCGACCCTTAAGCATTCTATCGATTATCTGCAAAATTACATTGTAATGATTAAATATTTATATTACTTTTCAACAAATTTTTATTAAATGAACATATCAAGAATAACAAATTATTGCAGAAAAAAATATTTTACATAATCTGAAAAATAAAATCTTAAAAAGTTATCTTTATTATATTAATTTTCTATAAGAAATTACAAGCCAATAATAAAGACTTAAGGGTTATAATTACATAAAGACAATAAATATAAACATTTCTGGTAATCATATAATAAAAAATAAAGTAGGTTATGTGGCTTAATTCATATCTTATGCTGAAAATTGATCACTTTCAGCTCCTATAATGATACAAAAACCAAAAAAATTCAGAACAATTATATAGAACGGTTTGATACCAATTGTGGTTCTAATATTTGACTATAAATACTTTTTACTTATATACATCTATTTAAATATACATGCGTATACTGCATATAATAACAAAGAATACATATACATGCACACACATACAACATGCATATCAAAGTACATAAATATATGTTATATATGTTTGTTATATTACTATATTATGTTCACCACTTATTAATTAAGTTTCAAATTATAAATAATAATAAATTACTGACCAAATTTATTCTTTAATAGCAAATGCCTAATATCCGAAACCATAAATTGATTGAAATCTCTCTAGATACAGATTAAAAACTATTTTTATCTTAATTTTATTTTAATGTAAAAATTATGTTATTTAAGCATGTATAGTAACATATAAACATATATGCATATGAAATTGTCAAAAAAGAGAACATAATATCTTGGATGATGTTAGAAATAGTATATTTATGTAAACTAAATGAATTAATTTAAGAAACAAAGATGTATGGATCAAAGTATCAGATCTTTTCTAATGTAAATTCATAAGAATCATGTACACTAATAATTTATTTTATTTATTCTGAATTTTAATATTTGAATTTTTAATTATATTTGCTACTTGGATCCTTACATTTTTGAAATTTCAATTAATAAATTAGAGAAAATATGCTTAAAAAATATCCTGTCCTACAATTCTTTATTTTGCAACATATTTTTGTTATGTTGAAAATATAACTATGATAATATTAGCCATGGCAAATTAAATTCGTAATTTTTTACATTAATTACTTTATCCCAACATATCATAAATTCATACTTAATATAATAAAATAAATTATTTAATCACATATGTTACATATATTACTTTTTAGTTATCTTATGACTTGTTAATTTATTAATATTTATTAATATTTATTTAAAAAATATAATTTGTCTAATAAAATAATTTTGATACAAAAATCGTATTGTAAACACATCAAACAAAATTTAATATTTATATATAAGTACTTACATAAATATATGTAAATGTACAAACATGGAATTTGAATTATATAAAACTAATGAAAAGATTCATCAATGTAAAAATTTAATTAATTATTTTTTTAAAATAGTATAGTATAGATTTTAATAGTTGAAATTTAATGATTTTATTTTATAAATAAAAATAAAATAAATTAATATTTTAAATAATATGCGTTTATGTGTATATAAATAATTTCTTTGGAGAAACGTTATCGACAAGACAAGTGTCGACATCTATCTATAGTTTACATCTTTATTGTAAAATTTTAAGAGGGATACTTTCTATTCACGTTATTATTTTTATCTTTGAACGTTTTAAAAGAGTATGTAATTACATATATTTTTAAGTTATTTAAATAAATAATATAATTTTAAAGAATATTTTTTGAATTTTTTATTATTAAAATATATTTTTTCAATAGTTTATACAATTAATAAAAAATTATGCAGTTATTAGTATTAAAGTAAATATAAATTATTAATAAAAATATAATTAAAACACAATAATAATGTTATTTCTAAATATTATGCATAATACTATTCAATCATTTCGATATGTGAAAACATTTAACATAATTAATTTAAATATAACAAGGACGTATGCAAGATGGGTTAGTCGAAAACCAATTGCAATTGTTAATGAAGATGAACTTTATGAATGCAATGATACTACTATTAAATCAGAAATTTCTAGACAAAGAAGAATCTCTACAAGAAAATCAAAAAGAACAAAACTTTCCCACGAAACAAAAAGTAAAGAAATTGAAATAACTGAAAGAAAAAATAAATTTACGAAACTTAAAGAAAATGATAAAATTATAACGTATGTTATTTATTTTCCATTATAATCTTAGAAAAAATTGCAAAATTATGACATAAATTTTATGATATAAAATTGTAAAATAAAAGAAATTATTTTAAATTTCTAATTGTTTTAGATCTTTAATGACTAAATTAAAATCACGAAAGAAGAGAGAAAAAGATAATGAAATAATCTTAGAAGGACAAAGATTAATTGCAGATGCTTTAAAATCTGGTGCAATTCCAAGTATAATAATTTATAATGATCCAACTAATATAACAGCATTAAAACTTCCAGAAGAAGTTAAATTATACAAGGTTCCTTATAAAACAATTCAATTATGGTCTAGTTTAAGTACTTCTCCTGGATTATTAGGTATTAATATTATATATTTTAAATATATAATATTTAATATATAAATTTTATATTGTTGAATTAATATTTAAATGATTTCATTTGTATTTTTTTTCATAACATAGGAATTTTTAAAACTCCAAATGTAAATAATAATATCCCTGTTAACAATGCTTTACCACTTACTATCATTTGTGATAATATAAGAGAGCCAGGAAATTTAGGCTCAATTATGAGAGTTGCCACAGCAGTAGGCTGTGAGAAATTAATATTAATGAAAGGTATGATTTTAGATTTATGATTAAATTATATTTTTTAAAAAATAAGATTTATTAAAAAAAATTAATATTATAGGATGCGTAGATCTATGGGATCCTAAAGTACTCAGAAGTGCAGCTGGTACTCATTTTCAATTACCTATTCTTGCATTTCCAACATGGGATGAAATACCATCTCTAATTACTGAAGATTCTAATATTTTTATAACAGATAGCAATTTTGGTGATGAATTTTTATCTTATTATTCATCTGATGTACTTCAGTCAAGTTTGCAAATATTTGATATTGATCCAGAAGATTTCAAATCAAAATTTATTTTGAATAATAATAAAGAGGAAGAAACGATACCAAAAAATAAAAAAATGATGAGACAATTTATGTTAAAATTCCTATTATACCATATTATTCTATAGATTATACAAAAAAAGAATCTGTAATTATTCTAAGTGGAGAAACTGAAGGTTTGAATTTTAATTCTTATAAATTCTTAAAAGAACGAAATATTATTCGTATCAATGTACCTTTAATAAAAGGAGTAGATAGTTTAAATGCAGGTGTGGCACTTGGTATTGTTATTTTTGAAATTAAAAGACAATTTTTCAAAAAAGTAAACAAACTTTGATGAAAGATTTCTTTAATAGATATTATATGTTTGAACAAATAAATACTTATTATTACTTGTTTTTAATTAAACTTCGTATTTATTATTTACAAAAGTTTACCTTATTTTGTAAGAAATAGAATAAAAATATAATTCTAATATAGGTAATAATTATGAATTTTTATAATTAAGAATATTTTAACTTCCATTATTAGGTTGAGCAGCAGCAGGTCGAACTGTAAAATTAAAATAACAAAATATGATACATTTGTTTATTTCATTTTTCTTAAAAAAAATCTTACTTATACAATTTTGAGGCTGAAACTTTATGTCATCGATAGCAAAACCTCCGTTGCTGGCACTTCCTTTTAAAATAAGACGATAAGGTACACGAGCATCTATCGTTACTTGTGCAGCAGTCCATACAGGTCTTGGATTATTAAATCCTTTTGCTGTTAATGACCATAACTAAAATAATAATATAATAATAATAAAATAAATGAAATATTTTATATTTTATAAATTACCGTAATATTTTATAAATTACCGTAAATTTTTAACATTTACATTATCTTAAGTTTTATACTTACTTGTTGTTTTTCATTATTTTCTTCATCATTGCTAATTTCTTTGTCAGTATTTATTTTAATAATTTGTAATGTTGTAGATTCCTCAACACCAAAGGCAGCGAACCAAAAAGTGAAACAAACAAATTCTTCATCAGGCGATGTTTGTATTATAGGAGATCGTAATCGTACGTCTGTTGATTGTTTATTTGTAGTAAAAATATCAAAAAAAACAAAATTTCCAGTTGCTCCAAAAGTTTTATCCAATAACTGAGCTGGACGATGAGTAAGAAATGCACGCTGCCAAGTGACTGTACGTTCATTTTCCAAAGAAGTAATATTTTCCCAACCGCATAATCCTTTCTCGAAGCTACAATCTTCTGATCTCACAGATGCACTAGATGGTTTCGCTAAACATTAATACATTTAATAATAATATAATTAATTCGAAATAGAATTATATATTCATTGTAAAGCTTACCGGAACAATTGCCAATATAAAAAGAAATATCATCAATGCCAATGCTACCGCTGGCACGATTTGGACCCCAAGTACCTTCGAAAATTACGTTAAAATTTTCCCTTTCGTTTATATTGATTTGAGCATAATTCCAGGTGGGTCCTTGATTATTGTATAATTGCCAGATTGGTCTAGATTCGGTTGAAGATTTTTCAATTGTTTGTATAGACACACGAAGTACTCCTTTAAATTTATATTATTTTTATAAATATTTTATAAATATTTTATAATAATTAGAAATCAACAATAAGATACAAACCTAAACTTGGTCCAGCAGAATCAATAAAAGATTCAAACATGAAATACCAAAAGGTAATACATAAAGGTTCCTCATTGCTTTTCATTTCTCGGCTAACAAGTTGTGCTGTTCCGCCTCCCGATGATCGATATCCTTCTTTTGGACGACCTAAATTAAGAAAATATTCATTTCTTCGATTCACTATGTATCCATTGCTATATGGTTTCCGTTGATTTCTTAGATTTAGCGCTTGTACAGAGAGTCTTTCCCACTCCACTCGATCAGGATCTCGAGAATTGATCCAGTCGCACTCGTCAATTTCGAAAGTACAATCTCGTGGTATAGGTACGGCAACTTGAGGTAAAGCTATAAATATATATACATATATATAAACGAATATTAGTTGAATAGCGATTATAATCCCATTATTTTAAATCAAATCTTTTTTAATAATTTTCTATAAATTTTTACTTGGACAAGATCCTTGTGCAAAAGAAATATCGTCAATAGCAATATCTCCCATTCCAGTGTTTCCTACAGACGCTTCAAAAAGAAGTTGAAAATCATCTAAAGAACTGATCGTAATTTGAGCTATAAACCACGTATTTCCAGCGTTCCCGTTCAAACTCCAAATTTCTCGAAATGGAGCATCCAAACTACGAAAATGACGCATCAATAGCTTTAAAGTACCGATTCCGGAACCAAACATGTGAAACCAGAAGTGCATACACATAGGTGCATCAGCACTTGGTGCAGGAAAACTAGTGCTAACAAGTCTAGCTTTGTCTCCTGGTCGACGTGGAAAAGAAGAATCTATATACGCATATCCTCCAGCTGTTAATCGATCTGTCGAACTATCCATTGCTGGTCCAGTCGTTGGATTTCCACTGCCTCGACTCTGTACATATATTTATATTATATATAAAAAATATTTCAGTTATTGATAAACTTACAATTGTCCAATCGAAGTCATCGTCTGCATCATTAGCCCAATCACAAAATCCACCAGCAAAATTACAAAAACCGATGCACGAAGTACCTGGCTGTAAATCTATATCATCTACAGCTATGTAACCTCTATATAAACGAGCTGGATCAGTAGAATCTACGGGAATTCCTTCAATAATCAACTAAAAACAAATACCTTGTTTCAATGTAATGATCATAGTGCTTTTAAAAGAATTGAATATTATTAATTTTATCAATACTTTGATTAATAATAAGATTTCTTTTTTCAAAGAAAAAAATGGGACGAGAAGAAATTCCTAATTACCGAATGTACATCGGGATAAGTGTATAATATCTGAGTTTGCTGCCAAACACTTAAAGTATAATACTGAGCATTCCAAATAATCCGTTCGTCAAAAATTTCCAATGGTTTACAAAATGGTATAGTTGTATTTTCTGGAACGATTTCTTCAGTTTCCTTCTTAATGGAATATTCATCCGCACCTACATGAAGTAAGACTCTTAGACCAGCAATGCTAAGACCATCCATGCTATACTTAAACATGATGCAAGTTCCAACAACTCCAGTGCTTCCTAGTTGAGGGCTATGTAACAATCCTCCTAGATTTTTCGTTTTATCATCTCTTTGTAACAATTTTGATGTTTCCAGGAAAGCATATCTAAATTATATTTGAATTAATATGCATATTAAATTATATATATATTTATATATATATATATATAAACACATACCCTCCTTCCATAGTACCAGTAGTATAATCACTTGATGGACCACCCATCCAATTGGTACCCATACCTGTTCCAGCCATCCAGTCTAGTATACTATCGCCATTTTGCCATTCACAAAGTGTTTGCGCTGGAAATGATCCAAAATCGCAAAAAACTTCATCTATTGATACTGTAGGTAATGATGCTGGTGGATATCTTAAAATGAAAGATATATTTCGAAATTACACAATTTTAAGAAATCTTTTTAATACATATTTTTTATAAAATACCTTTGTGTCGATAAATTTTTTTGAGTAAATATAAATGGATAAAGTGGGTTTCGTAATAGTGGTGTCTCTGTAGTAGAAGAAACAATTGTTCGAGTATATAAAATATCTGGCCAATGTTTGGGCTCAATACGTTCTACCTCATCCAAGAGTTCACGATCACGATTTATGGAATTAAATGGAAATTGCGTTGAGTTAAAGGCATTGTTGATAACAAAAGTATCAAAAATATTCTTTGTCTCTTCGTTTTCTGCACTTTTAGTCCAATTAGGAATAAAACTTTCATTTATACCAGTGATAAGATCTATTTGTTCTCCAAGCATTGGATTCACGGGATACCATGAAGATGCACATGTCAACCAATAAATGCAATAACATATAAATAATATCAACCACATTTTGTAAGTATTATAGACAAATAATATTGAGATACTAGAAAAAATCTTAAACGATTCTCGGATTACATCGCGAAAATAATTAAAAATTTTTTACTTATATATTGTATTATTAATTTTTTTTGTCAGATTTAATATAAAAATTTTTTATATTAAATTTATTTTAAATTTTACTTTACGAAGATATAAAATTTCGCTCTTTAAATTGCTCGCCGAGAAATTGAATCTCAATTTCAAATATTTTTTTTTAATTTTCAAAAATTAACAACACATTTATTGAATTTATATACGCAGAAGTATGATATTCCTCTAACTAAAAACGAACTGAACAGTTTTCAAAAGGTGCATGTGATGAAATGAAACGAGTATTCCGCAGTTCCGGTCTTTGCTTCCTGTCGTTACGCTTTTGATCCTAGTATAGAAAAACCGAGTTCGATAACCGTCCCTTGAACAATTCTATTAAATTGACTAATAATTATTAAATAATAATATGTAAAAATATATAGAAATATATTTAATGATGATTAAACTTTAATAAAAGATATATTTATTATATACATAAAAAATTACATATAATAATTATTCAAATATAAATAAAAAACTAAATTAAAAATATATAAATTCTAAAACTTAAAAATATAAAAATATAAATTCATATCTAAATACATATTAGATTAAGAAAGTTTTTTGCGCTTTCAAAAATTTTAAAAATATTTCAGGATTAAAATTTTCATTATCCTTGTTGACAATATTCAAAACACGTCCTAAATTTAAATATATTCGAATAATGAAAGGTATTAGATAAGGACTCAAAACTAATTGATTTGTTTTTGGACGATAAAATGATTGTTTTCTCAACATTTTTGATATGAGACTAATAACAGATAATGATGTTCCTTTAGGAAGAGGTTGTGGTTTTTCTTCACAAATCTTTTTCATAATTTCTGTTAAAGTCTAAAAATTAAAGTATATCTATAAAAACCGAAATGAAATCAAGTTATGTTGAAATATATACTAAATCGAATATTACCGTAGCGGAAAAGGGATGTTTTTTCGTAATCATTTCATAAAGAATAATACCCATACTCCATATGTCGCATTTAAAATCATAAGATTCACCTTTCAACATTTCTGGAGCCATATAACAAAATGATCCAGCGCAAGAAATAATTGATGGATTTTTTAATCTATATAATAATGGTATTATATAAAATCATTTATATTATAAAAAATTTAATGTAAATTCTATAAATTTATTTTTTTACAATAAATGATACTCTTTTAAACTCTTCGATACGCCAAAATCTCCGATCTTAATGATATCACCACGACTACCGGTCAACATGATATTTTCCGGTTTTAAATCTCTATGAAGAATCTTTTTAGAATGAATATGATGAA